AGGAGTCTTGCGGGTGAGTTTTGGCTCAAAGTCAGTCCCCAGAGTCGACCCCAAGGTGATAAAGAACATGCAGAGACATCACCAATTCTGGATTCATTTTTTTACTTCCTGTTCATCTCAACTCCTGCATATGTCAAATGGACATTCCAACTTGTTGGTTTGATGGAAGAAGCCATGTTTTCATACTTATTTCGTGGCTGAATCCACAGACTCTTCAGTAGATTCTCCACTCGGAGTCTGACCAGACGTGAGGTTATCTGGGAAAGTGATGGGGAATGAGCAGGGTTTCTCACCGAGGTTTCTTGTGTCAGCCATGCTTTGTTCCAGTGAGGACAGTCTCATTGTTTTAAACGATACTTCTTGGGTCCATCTGTTCTCCTTTGTCCTTGTTTGCATCATTAGAATAAATTTGTCATATGGAACTGTCCTTTTTAGGGGGGAGGTACTAAAATGATATTGAGTAATATTAAGTTAATCTCCTTAGTCTGGCAAGGCAGTGTTCTAGTAGGTTAATTGGATTTTCTACTTAAATGTGGATAAACTCATTTGTGCAGCAACATTTCTCAAGATAAGATTGCTCCCTTAGAATTCAGCATTGCTCTATTCTCAGTTCTGTTGAGAATGAATTGTGATGTTTGTCTACAAACCTCTTTCCCTCAAACATGTTCTTACCAGTAAATACATGGGCAAAGAAAAGTTACTTCCAAGGTCCCATTCTGTTATTTCTCTTCCAAATTTTGCTTTTTTGTATCTGAAATACATTCTCCATTTCTCTGACTGATCCTGAACTGATCTTCAATAATGAAGTGGGAGGAAGGTAAAGCGATATGAAGTTTTAAGCTTTCTGGGTCAGTACTCCTTAGAACACTGGTCCTGGGAAACGTGTTTTCAAAGGGGAGTTCTATGGTCAAATATGTTTGGAAAATGCTACTCTCTTTAAGAGTCATGCCGCACCCTAGTGTGCTAAAAATTCATGCAATAAAGAAACGTGTTCACACAGGGAACTATATTCAATAACTTGTAATAACCTATAATGAAAAAGAAAATGAAAAAGAACATATACGTATAACTAAATCACTGTGCTGTACACCAGAAACTAACAACACTGTAAATCAACTATACTTCAATTTTTTAAAAATGTGCTCAACTTTAGCTCAGCATTTCCTAAACTTATCTGATTGAGAATGTTTCTTTTTATATTATACCTATAGTAGCTGTTAACAAATGTAGGTATATATGTTCCAAGGGACACTTTCTGAGAAATGCTTCTTCCAACCTAAAGGACAGAGTTCATTGTCCTATATTTAGTAGTTGGAGATATTTACCTATATCTATCTAACTATCTATCTGTAATGGAAATGTTTCTACTCTTTTCAGAATTTTGAGATTAGGATGATCACAGCTCTGAAAACATTTTCATAGAAAAAAATATTAGAAAGACACACCAAAACCCAGTGGCTGGTAGAATGACAGGTAATTTTTTTTCTTTCTTTCACATTCTTCCACAAGGATTATTTCCACATTTGGGGTGAAAAGCAAAATAAACTTCATTTTTAAAGAAGAATCAGCACAAAGCAAAAAAAAAAAATCAATATGCAAAGTTCTTTTCTTTTTATTTGTTCTTAAGTGATCATGTCCACCTCCCTGAAGAAAAGACATCAGATACCTCCTCCCTCTTCTAGTCATTTATCCTAGTCTGCTTGGAGTTCGATGACACTCATCTTCTAAGGTCCTCTAGATCTGTCCTTGGAGTACATAGAGCGCCTTCAGGTTTAAGAGAAAGCAAAGCAATTCATACCTCGTCGGAGGGTCAGTCTGGGAGAAGGGAATGGCCCCATCAAGCCCGCCATACTAAATTGTTATTGGATCACGCTTCCATGCAGGAGAGATTGGCATGCCAGTCAGAATTCTTGGTTGCAAACAACGAAAATCTCTTCTAGTTGACTTGAGCAGAAGATGAATTTATTGGAAGAGTGTTGTACAGCTCACAGGATCAGTGGGAAGGCTAGAGAACCAGGTGATGGAAATGAGTAAAACTCCAGGGGAGGTAGCACAGCCAAAATCTTGCCACAGGGAGAGTCTGCTCAGGACGCTACTTCTGGTGCTATCACTACTGGACACTTGTCTTAATGACGCTGGGCTCTGCCACCCCTGCACGTTCATCGCCATGCCGCTGGACACCAAAACCTACCACTGTCACTGCAGAAGACTTCTGCTTTCCCACAGGCTGCATGTCCCAGATGGGACCTTTGATCCACCGAGCCCAGGTGAAAATCTGGTTTCCTCATTGTTGGGGCAAAGATAGAAACTTTTTGCTCTCTTGGGCTTCTAAAGTAGAAAGTAGAGCCCCGTCTTTCCTCTACTCTGGGGTTCTCCCCAAATGGGAAGGATGTTTGGAGGCTTGGGAGCTAGAATGACAAATAGCCATAACATTCAGTGTTCTGTCAAAGGGCTCGGAGAAGCAGGGGCAAATTCGGGCCAGTCATGCTCAGAAGAGAACTCACCCTCCCCCAGCTGCATCCATAAAGCCTGCTTTCCTCTCAACCTGGATCCTAGGACAAAAACTTCCATTAGATTTCTTCATCAGTTGGTAGAAAATCTGCCCCTCATAATAACTGACCTCTCCTAATAAAAACCACACTAAATAGTAAAATAAGAATGACTATTTTTCAGAGGGACCAGAAGGCAGAGGTAGGGTGCTTGTGTGACTGTGAGGGCTAGAGTTGTCGCTTACTCTGTCTGTCTGTCTTGCCCGTGGATTGTCTGTATGGCACTGAGCAAGTGACATGAAGAATACAAAGCATTAGAAGGATTTTTTTTCCCCTCTGAAGAACTTATAATTTAGGGAAGCTGATTAAATAGATTGATATTACCTCAGAGGAAGACCCTGTGAAGTACAGGGAATGGGAAAGGAGTGGAAAGTGTAAATGCAGATCTTTTATTGACTTCCTTATTTGGGAACATATCTTTCTGTTTGCAAATGTCCTAATGTTGGAGTTGGGTCCACAGACCAAAGATGAGGCCCAAGGAGACAGTCGCTACTGCTCTGGCTGCTGTGAAATTCTTAGATGCCAGACACAGGCCCCAAAGTGGATGTTGCAGGAGAAAACTGCGGGGGTTGACCACTTCAGACCTCGGAGTCTTAGAAGTGGAACTAGAAATCGGTGATTAAAAGATAGGGGGTGGGGGTGGGGATGAGGGGCGGGTATAGCTCAGTGGTAGAACGCATGCTTAGCATGCACAATGTCCTGGGTTCAATCAGCAGCACCTCCATTAAACGAACAAATAAAAAAATTTTTTTTTTAATCAGAAAAATCTCTATTTTGGAACTAATATGAATATGCTCATCTCAGAGTAAATGAGCTATAGTTTGAGAGTATCAGGAAGTTGACCTTATGTAATACCCATATTATTATAATTTTCTACAGTGAGTTGCTCCTTTTTTACTTCTAGGTTATCAGGACACTTGAACAATTTCCAGTGTTGACTGGGATCTTTTGAGGACTGTCAATATATTCATAGGGAAGGAGCTTCTAAGCTCAGATCATCAGACTCTTCATTCAGATGGGAACCAGGACTACATCTCCCAGAAATGCAAACAAGGAAACAAACCAAACTTACTTCTTTGGGGAGAATGTGTTCTTGCACATTCAACGCAGGGATTTTAGTCTTCCTAGGAGAGCCTGCCAGGAGAAGATCGGATGTCTAAGGAGTTTGAGAAAGTGCTACACCTTAGACTATGTTTAAGTGGTTCATCACCTGCAACTGAATCCCACCTAGAACTGCATTGCACCTCTAGACATCTGATTTAATGGCCACTAGGCAAGAATGTCTATTGGGACATGAAAACTGAAGAAATGATTAAGAAATCAAGGGGTCTCTTGGAAATGGAGGTACATCCATTCCTAGGAATGTTGAAATAAGTCACATGGGACTCCTTCTATATCCCCAGCATTTTTCCAAGGAGAATTTTAGAAGCGTTTTTTTGCAGTGAGGTGTAGGTAATTAGGTTTGTTTGTTTGTTTGTTTGTTTTAATGGAAGTACTGGGGATTGAACCTAGGACCTCACGTGCGCTAAGCACATGCTCTACTACTGAGCTATACCCTCCCCGCTCCCACCAAGGGAAATCTTTAAAGGAAAAAGGTCACAAAATGGTAGCCTGAGGGATTAGAGTGGAGACAGGGTGGGATGGTGGCGGGGATGTTCCACCTCTCCCTCTCTGTAGAGGCTGTTGGGACAGGTGGTAGGTAGACTAGATTGAGTTTTCTGGTATCCAAGGTAGGGACAGTGCCATTCACCTTTGGCTGTTTCCTTGGCTGACTGGCCAGTGAACAGTGAGCACACGATCCCAAGATAGAGCCTGATATGGCAAAGCTGCTATAGACCAGAGAGGATGGAGGCAGGATGGGGCTCATATTCTGAGCAGCACATGTCAGATCTCAGGCCTGGGCCCAGGAAGTGAGTTTAGACACAGAGTGAACATCTTTGGTCTCAGCTGTGTTAAAAGATGGTGTGTATAATAAGCAAATGACTTGTGCTTCATCCTAGCTCTGTATCTTTCACTTGCTCTGTGACCTTGGAGAAATTACCTAACCATTCTGTGCCTCAGTTTTATCATTTAAAAGAGAAAGAAGACTATGCCCTGCTTCGGAGGATTTTATGAGTATTACATATGTTAATTCATGTGAAGTGCTTGGAACAGTGCCTGACCCATAGTAACCATCAAGTAACTGCGTGATAGGCATTAGGTGTCCATATTATGATACTCGGTCAGCATGAGGGTGACATTTTTAAACCTCAAAGCTTGTGTGGGACATCTGGGTAAACTCTCATTTAGATTAAACTCGAAAAATGCCACAGCCATTTACTTCAATGTGACTGAAGTTCATCAAGTGTCTCTGGGATGGAAATAATTAACTTACATCTTTAAAATATTAACAGATTGCTAGCATTAACATCTTAGGAGCAAATGCTTTATTTCATTAAAGCCTTTCCTAAGCAGCAGAGCAACGTGGTTAAAAGGCAGCTGTCTTGAGTCTTAATACGAAGACCCTTGAAAATGGAATTCTCAGGTTGGGGTAGGAGGGGGAAATTGTGGTTTCTTGTATTGTTTCTCACATGGAGGGTCCCAGGATTGGGGGAGGACTTGAGAATTTTTAAATTTATGTTTTCATAAAGCATAGCTTTAGTTTCTCAATTCAGTTGTTTCTTCAACTAGGGCCTGTGAGAATTTTTTTCATTTATGAGATATCAGAATAATACTGAAATTTGAGAAATGTTTGTAGAGTGGAAAGGATGTGGGTTTTGAAATCAGACAGTTCTGGGTTCAAATTCTGTCTCTACTATTTACTTGCTGGGAGACCTTAGACAAGTTACTTGGCCTCTCTGACCCTCACTCTTCTCATCTGTAAAATGGTGACAATAGCTATCCACAATCTTGTTATAAAAATGCATATAAATTATTTAACACATAGTAGGGGCTCCATGGAAATTATCTCCCATCCTTTTGTCCACTTTTCTTCTTCCCCAAGGAAAGAAGGGAGTGCTTATTCTGCCTCTTGAAGGAAAGTAAAGAGAAACTCAACTGAGATATCTAACAGATCTGTTTTGGAGACCCAGTGATTCAGACAGTGATGGTAAGCTGAATAATGTCCGCCTCCCCCACCTGAAAAAAAATATATAGCCCTGTCCTAATCCCTGTAACCTGTGAATATTACCTTGCATGGCAAAAAAGGATTTTACAGCTCTTGACATGGGGAGAGTTCCTGGTTTATCCAGGTGGGCCCTAAGTTAAATCATGAGTGTCCTCATTACCGGGAAGCAAAGGGAGATTTGACCATAGAAGAGAAGAAGGCAACGTGATTAGAGAAGCAGAGATTCGGGTGATGTGGCCACAAGCCAACAAATGCCAGCAGCCACTAGAAGCTGGAAGAAGAGGCAAGAACTGGATTCTTCTCTGAGCCTCAGGAGGGAGGGCTGCCCTGACAACACCTTGATTTCAGCTTGGGGAAACTGATTTAGGCTTCCGGACTCAAGAACTGTGAGAGAATAGATTTCTATTGTTTTGAGCCACAAAGTAGGTGGTAATTTGTTACAGTAGCAATAAGAAACCAATACAGATGTTTGGAGTGGCTCTGTAGATAGAGGACTTTGGAGATACGATGAAAATACATTGTGCTTCACCGCAGAAATGTTTTTAAGAGCTCCCAAGCAAACATTTCAATTCTTTTGCCAAGTCCTTGACTGCAAGGCCAACAGTTACGTAGAAGAGGGTTGAGACCTGAGCAGGCTGTGAACAGCATTTTTTTTTTAAATAAACTAGGACAAAATAAAAAGCCGGAAATCTAATGCTCTTGCCACTGTAAACCTCGTGCCCTCTTACAGCTGCCTATGCGCAGCCATTGCACAAGGTCTTTCCTGGAGTCTCTTTTCTTCTCCTGCTGCTCTTGGTCAGGTGCCCTCTTCCTTGTCTCCATGGCATCTCGTGTTTCCTCCGTTAGGGTCCTTGTCACCATGCAGCACATATTGCACATTCACTCAGCAAGCATATTGGGAGCCCTACCATGTGTCAGGCACTGCGCTGGGTGTCGGGCCTGTCTGAGTGTTTGTCTGCCTCCTCACTGGACAGCCGTTTCTCTGAGGAAGAGTGTTTTGACTCTGTATCTCCTGCACCTCACGTGGTGCCTGGCATGCTAATGGACATTCAGTATGGTTATGCACTGTGGTTCTAGATTTTAGAATTCTTTTAAACAAATTTGAATGGCGCCTGGAGGACGTTCACCTGACGTGGTCCCACTAGGCATGGACAGGCCTGATGGGCATAGGCTTTCGAGAAGCTTGACCATAGAAATCTCCAGTTGGCCTTTCACATTTTGATAGCCCCTCAGTAGAACTGGACAGATTTTCTTTTCTCCAAATCACCCTTTGCCACTTTACCCTGACTTTTCTAGAAGGGGAATCACATTAAGTGATAAAGAAATGGAAGGAGTGCTTTGTACACCTTGAAGGTAGTCCTAATTGCAGGCCTGGGTGGAGAAGATAGCCAAAATAAAAATCTCCGTCATACAGGAATTTTTAAAAGAAGAGGATGCCTTGCCTCCCCAACTTAGGCTCTTTTGCTAACTTGTAACATCATCATGTCCTTAAAACATCAAACCTGAGCACCAAATTATATTCAGCAAGGAAGGTCTTAGGCAACAACCACAAATGTAAAATATAGACGATGATATCACTGCTGATTTGGTATAATTACATCCTTGCACGTAAACTTTATCTTTCTTTCTAGGCATTCAAGGCACATGAGAGACATTGTCTGGTTGTTTTTCCCCAAACATTTGCCAGCTAGGTAGGGAGCAGGTATCATTGCTGTCTTCATGTCATGTATGTGTCAATAGTTTTCCTGGGAATTATTTGTCCAAAACTCCACTGGCAAGAAGAGCAACTGGAAAGAAAAAGACCAGAGGCTTAATTTAAAAAACAGAACTTCCTGTTGGGGCAACTTCAGGTCACAATGCTGGGATATTTCTAATTTCAGGCATTCTTGGAGCAAGGGAGCATAAAGTGTTAGTTATTTCCCTTTATTTGTGGGTGCAGAGGAGGGACTAGGGTAGCAGATCATTTAATTAAATCAATTCGACTTGGTATTTTGTGTTCAGCACCTACAGGGCGTATCAGCGGATGATTTCTTTCCACGAGGGCTGTGGCATCACTGAGTGAAGCTCAATAAAATAGGACCAGCAACAAAATCAGGAACATAAATGTGACTCTATAGCAATTTTTTTTTGCTATTAGAGGCAACTCTACTATTGTGATGAAAACATTTAGAGTTGTGAAAGTCTGCGCTGGAGTCTCAGCTCCGATACTAACTTGTTGAGTAATTTTGAGCAAGTCTTTTAATATCTGTTTCTCTCTCTCTCTCTCTCTCTCTCTCTTTTTTTTTTTTTTTGGTCTGCAAAATGAGCATAATATTTACTCTAATCAAAAGCTATCAGAATTTAAAAAGGATCATATATGTAAAGTGCTTTAAAAACAGTAAAATGCTATAGAAAAAAAAGCTATTATAAAGCTAATGGACCACTAAAATGACAGAACCTAGTACAGATTAGATTTTCTTACAAGGGGGGTCTATTTCCAATGGGTCATTGGTGCAAGGAGCATGCCTTTAAATCCGTAAATTATTATCTTCCTGGAAAATCAGGAGAACCTAAAACAAGGAGAGAAAAGGAGGCCTGAAGCTATAGGTATATCAAAATTTAAAGAATGTGTCAAGTGTGAATGCTAGTCTACGTGGTGGAATTCAAGTATCTATACACTGTAGGGGGGCAGGGAGCTTAAAGATAAAGCTTTCCTATGTCTCCTGGAATGTGGACCCTTTGTTGGGGATTCTCGAGGTGAAGCATTCCATAGGAAGTATTTGTTTAATTAATCGTAGCCAGAACGTAGCTGGGGGTAGGCCAGATTCCATCGTGTAATGTTATTGCTCCTCCAACCAAGATACGTGCATACTTTAAGCCAAGGGCAAACCCACAAGATTTGAACTCCTAACCTTTAAAACACAAGGCGGCTACTTTGGCCACCAGGCACCCCAGTTCTTGTTTACCAGGACTGGGAGTTCTCATCAGACAGAGCCCCATTTATTCCATGACCCTAGCAGAGCAACTCAAAGGAATATCCATTTTAAAATCGTATCTGTGGCACCGAAAGGATTCTGGAGCTCTGAATCAGCCCCTTACCTCATGGCAAAATTTACAGGCTTGCAGAGTTAAATGAAAATCAGATTGGAATGTACGGGCTTCTATTTTTCTGTAATGACATGTTGTGAGGAAAGGGAAGGCAATTTTCTTGGAGATTCCTCTAAAGCCAGTGCACTTGCGGTGGTTGTTTTGGTTTACAGAACTATCTGAAACAGACCCAGGGCCCACTGCCCTCTCCGGGTGCAGGGCTCTGGACCACACAGGCCACTTGTTCAAGGATTGTAATTAAGATCAGTAATCATGCCCTTCACTGGGCACGGGTTAGCTCTTCTGTAAGCACTCAGAAAGTCAACTTTAGTACCTCATGCTTTCTCTGAAGTAATTCGATGACAATATAAGAAAATCAGTTCTCTAAAATGCAGTCTTAGACTTTGGCTCCACTATGAGTTGAAAGAATTTTGTGAGGAAAGAAAGGAAAAAAAGGAAAGACATGTGTCTGTTTCTCACATCTGACTGTGAAAAATCCATTTACTATAACCTGAAAAGGAAAAATAAACACAGTCCATGAAATTCTGCGGCAAAAAGGAATGAAAATGTTCTTTAAAAAAAAAATTAAGAAAGAAAGAAAAAGAAACGAAACTGTATTCTCTGCAGGTTTAGCGGCAACCTTTGCCAAAATGTGCTTTCTGGAAACTTTCCTCTAGACCTGGCTCCCACCAGCAGGCTTGGCTGCAGGAGGAAGGCTTGGAAGACTGTGGTTTGGAATGTGTGAATGTCAAAGTCAGACGTTGTTCCCTTTTCTTTATAACAACAACAAGCCTTTGGTTTTGGCTACATACGTACTGGGTTTTCCAGTACTGACTTGTTTCTTTTCTTGTTACAGGTTAGAACTATTGAGGGGCTCTTGGTATTTTCAGCTTCTTTTTGTTTTAACCACCACTTTCCGCTTCCTCACAATGCCCTTGAGAAGCTAACAGGCACTGTTTGCAGGCCGAAATGGAGAAAGGACTGAATGAGTATGAAATGGTTCGTGGGAAGCCACACAACAAGTTGGAAGGAGCTTCTGAATTAGAGCTTACGATTTCCTTGGCCTCGTAGGTCTGTAAACCTGGTCCATGTAGCTAAGTTTTTCTGACATTGAGGCCCACAGGTACATGTTGATCCACAGACAGAAGGTGAGACTTCAAACAGGTCATCAGCACTCTGCAGAGTGACTAGACGTGGAATGTTTTAATACAAGAATTGTCACCTGCTGGGCAGACTTTTAGCTTAAAATTGTTTTTCCATGGATTATTCTAATCGCTAACATAATTCAGATGGAAGAAGGGCAATATTGAATAATCCCAGCTATGAAAAGATTTGCTCAATAAACAACAAATATAAAGTAGATTATAGGGACAATGTCTCATGTCATATATCATATATCACACACTTAAGAGTAAGACACAGGAAATAACAGAATCAATCATAACTGAATTGCAGGGAGCTATGCTTTTCAGCAAGCACCACTATACAATAATCATTGATCCTGCTACTTCTGTGTCTTTTTCTTAAGTATGTGGCGTACAACATATGAATGACACATAGTAGTCATCTCAAAAAGAGACATAGGTAGTCTGTGTAACCTACAGTATTACACAGCAGTTGTTGCAACTGAAAAAGCTGTTCCCAGGAAAAGGGTACCTGCTGAAGTCATTTTCACTGGATCTTGAAGGTCAGCAGAACTCATCATGTGTCAGAGTTATGCAGAAACAGATGAAGCAATGTGCATAACTTGAACCAGAAAGCATGTTGAAGAGTCTACTTGAAGGAGCAACAGTGGACTGAGAGACTGAGAATTTTCTGTAATTAGTATAAAATGCTTCCTGATACCAGGGAGATTTATTAATAGAGGAGGGCATGGGATGTGGGACAATGTGGGACACAGGAAAGAACCTGTAGATGAGAAAGAATCAGGGACAATGGAATAATCAGGAAAAAAGCAGACCAGGGCAGAGAAATTTCCCTTGGCCACACTTGACTAAAACGAAAACCAGAGCCACACCATCTATGATTTATAGCTTATTGCATGCATACGTTTGTCTAAGTTAACTGTTGGTAATTGTATTATGATGTTAGTGCTTTTTATGTTCTTTCTGCGGATTTCATAAAATCAGATTAAAACCGTCTCTTCTTGTATTATTAAAGACTGATATGAGGCATTTTCATTGAAGATAGCAGATTAAATGAGTAAGTTAGCCTTAATTCCCTTCTAAACTTTTCTAAACTATAAATAAAGGGACTGGGGTGGTGGGGGAATCATAAATCATAACCACAAAGAGACTAGAACAAGAGAAAACAAAAACAAAATTTGGGGTGCTGTAAAGCACCTGGTCAAGTGATAGCTACTTAGGAAATCTGAGAATGCCAAGTTTTATAACAGTGCTTGGGAGTCTGAGAAGCCACCCAATTCACACTGGAGAACCCCCAAAATGCTTAGGAATTGGTGGCTGGAGGTTCTCCTTGAAGTGAGGCTGAAGGTGAGCTACAATAAGCATATTGGATAAAAGTCTATTTAATAATAAAATAATGCCATTTGCAGCAACATAGATGGACCTGGAGAATGTCATTCTAAGTGAAATAAGCCAGAAAGAGAAAGAAAAGTACCATATGGTATCACTCATATGTGGAATCTTAAAAAAAAACAAACAAACTTATTTACAAAATAGAAACAGACTCACAGACATAGAAAACAAACTTAACGGTTACCAGGGCGGGAAGAGGGTGGGAAGGGATAAATTGGGAGTTCAAGATTTGCAAATGCTAACTAATATATATAAAATAGATAAACAATGAGTTTATACTGTATAGCACAGGGAACCATATTCACTATCTTGTAGTAACTTATGGTGAAAAAGAATATGAAAACAAATATACGTATGTTCCTATATGGCTGAAGTATTGTGCTGTACACCAGAAATTGACAACATTGTGAACAGATTATACTTCAATTAAAAAAAATATATATATAAAGTCTATTTAAAAAGCAGTTAGATGGGTGAGTGGATAAAATAAATGTGATATATCCATACAATGGAATATTACTCAGCAATAAAAAGAAATGAAGTTCTGATTCATGGTTTGAACTTTGAAACATCATGTTAAGTGAAAGAAGCCAGATACAAAGGACCACATACTGTATGATTCCATTTATATAAAATGCCTAGAATGAGCAGGCCTATAGAAATAGAAAGTAGATTAATGGTTGCCCAGAGATAGTGGGAGGTAAAATTGGAGCATTTCTGCTAATGGAAATGAGTTTTCTTTTAAAGATAATAAAACATTCTAAGATTGTGGTGATGGTTGCACAACTCAGGGAATATACCAAAATCCACTGAATTGAACACTTTAAATGGGTGAAATTATATGGTATGTGAACTATATTTCAATAAAGCTGTTTTTTTTTTTCCAAAAAGCAGTTAGATGTCCATATTATCTCTCCCACCCAGGAATATGTTTTCTGGACCATGGAACACCAGACATAGTTCAGGATGGGGGTACTATATCAAATCCAGGCATACTAGGTGAAATTTTATTCACTGAATGTTGATACATGTATTACCTCTTCCCTTAGTCAGCTCCTGGTCTACTGGCAGCCAGGATTAGGCCTTCCATCCATGTAGGAAATTGGAAGTCTTTTCTGGAGAATCTGTCCAGTCCTTGAAAAAAGATCTAATGATCATGATATAGGTTGGGTATGAGGTGTCCTCTAATTAAACGACCTGGCCACATCACTCTACAGTGATACCATAGCTAGTAAGCCCCACTCATGTGTATAAAGATTCCAATCCTTTTTTTACTATGACTTTCGTAAATATAAGTGGACATCCAGAGGTCACCAGACATTAAAGGAAAGCCTCTAGTGTTAAAGATAGAAAACAAACAGGAAAAGCAACTTGGATGAAACAGAGATGATGGGAGGAGAAGAGATTTCAAAAGAATATAATTATAATTAATATCCTCAAGTGATAAGTGAAGATATTAAACACATGAAATAAAAGCAGGATATTATTTTAAAAATAAAAAAGAAAGAAAGATTTAGGGAAGTTTCCTAGAACATAAGGATATGAATTTCAAATAGGAAAGGCCCACTGAGCATCTAACACATTGAATGAAAATACCCTGACACCAAAGCATATCAACATGAAATTTCAGAAGACTGGAGACAAGGAAAAGACTGTACAAGAGGAAAAAGTTAAGTATATATAAAGAATTGGGAATTGAATAGCATCCCACTTCTCAACAATCTCACTGGAAACCAGAATACAATGGAACAATCTTCAAAATTCTGAAAGACAATAATCTAAAATCTAGGCTTTTATACCTAGACAGATTCTCAGTCAAGTGTGAGGGTAGGTTAAAGATGTTTTCAGATATGTTCATTGCTGCCAAATTTTTCTTCACCAAAAGGGATAGTAAACCAAAAGAGAAAGACATGGGATCTGTGAAACAGAAGATCCAACTTGGAGGGAGCTCAAGGAATCTTCAGGAAGATGGTAAAAGGAGATCTCAAGATGACAGCTTAGAGAGCAACCAATCCAGATTGAAGGTGATCAGAAGTTTCCAGGAAAGACTTCTCCAAGAAGATGAAATTAATGGAGTACTTAATGTGATTAACTCTATTGAGAAGATACTTGCACAACTAGGGAGGAATATGGAGATGACTCAGTCGTAAGTACATTAAAAAGTAAACACATTTTAAAAACAAGCAAGACTATTATTAATTCCACAGAAAATAAAATGTTTAGGAAAGAAAAAGTATACTACATTGCTTAACTGTTAATCGTACCATAGAGTCAAAATAATATAAACACTGAATAGCAAAGTAAAATTATGTTTCAGCTATATTGTAGAATGGGGACTGAGGAAAGAGTGGATAAGAGATACAGGGGGAGGGCTGTGATGGTGAGAAAGCACTGTATCCTCATCTTCCAATGTGGGAAGTTAATAGAGAATACTGGAAACTGAAAAATTAAAAAGTAGCAATATAAGCCTATTTTTTAGAAATATGGAAATTATTGCTAAAAGAATCAGTTGAAAGGTTCATACAAAGGCATAGGAAACAAGAGTGAATTCAAGAAAATGCTGATTTTAACAAAAATACTTATATATTACTTGATTTTTTCCAAAATTATGTGCAAGTATCACTCGGATAAAAATAAAAATTAAAAAACTTAAAACTCAACAATAAGAACATGAACAACTGGATTAAAAAAATGGGCCAATGTCCTTAACAGGCATCTTACCAAAGAAGATATGCAGATGTCAGATAAGAACAAAAAAAGATGCCCCACATCAAATGTCACTAGGGAAATGCAAATTAAAGCATCAATGACATATCACTATACACCAAATGTTGAGGATGTGGAGCAACAGGAACTCTCATTCATTGCTGGTGAAAATACAAAGTGGTATTGCCACTTTGGAAGACAGTATGGCAGTTTCCTACAAAACTAAATACACTCTTACCCCAGGATCCAGCTATCACGCTTCTTGGTGTTAAAAACTTAGGTGCACACGAAACCCTGCAACACAGATGTCTATAGCAGCTTTATTCATAATTGCTAAAACTTGGAAACAACCAAAGTGTCTCTCAGTAGGTAAATAAACACATAAACAGTGGTATAACCAGACAATGGAGTACTGTTCAGCACTAAAAAGGAAGGAGTTATCCTATGTGATTCCAACTATATGACAATTCTGGAAAAGGCAAAACTACGGAGACAGGAAAAGGTCAATAGTGTTCAGGGGCTGAGGGAAGGATGAGGAGGCAGAACACAGAGGATTTTTAGGGCAGTGAACTGTTTATTCTGTATGACACTATAATGGTGGGTGCATGTCATTATACATTTATACATTTGTCAAACCCAAAGAATGTACAACACCAAGAGGAAACCCTAATGTAAACCATGGACTTTGGGTGATTATGATGTGTCAGTTTAGGTTCATCAATTGCAACAAATGTTCCACTCTGGTGGAGAATGTTGATATGGGGAAGGCTGTGTGTATCTGGGCACTGTGGGTATATGGGAAATCTCTGTACCTTCCTCAGTTTTGCTGTGAACTTAAAACCGCTCTAAAACATAAAGTCCATTAAAATAATAAATAAATAAGTAACAGATAAAAGAGGGATGGGTACAACCCCTGCCCTAATTAAGAGTAGTTACTAGCATGTATTACTCTTTAAAAAATGAAGAAAAATCATAAGGACTTTTAAAAATTTTTTTAAAGTTGGTGCTAGAACTTGTACTGGGAAGACCAAACAGGCAGTTCCCTTGCAGAATGGTACCCAAACACAACCTGTTCCTGCCTGGGTGCACCATTCAGGGCTCTTGCAGTGCAGAGCTCTTCAAATGATGCCTTACATCAAATGAGAGTATGGATGGCTTTGATAGCACTAAATGTAGAATAAAACAAAATCTTTACACTGGAAGGGTCTTAAAAGAAGTTAAGTACAAACCCATTGTCTTACAAATGAAAATACTGAAGCTCAGAGAAATTAAGTAAAAGGTAGAGTAAATTTGGTGGTGGAATGTGTTTTCAATGAATCATCCCACAAATACCCTAAGATGTATATGATATTAGTATCCCTGTTTTATAGAGGAAGAGAATGAGACGATGAGAAGTTTGCTCAAGGTCCTACAGCAAGTTAAATGGCAGAACCAAGTCTAATTCCAGAGCATGCAGTCTAATCTCTATGCTAGACTTCCTCCTTCAGCACTTGTCTTCATGGAAATAAATCCACTTGGTGGTGGTATTACTTGCATTTTATTTTGCATTTTAATCATACTCAGGGGAGCTCATCCTTTTCCTTGGTTTGTTTTCTAGGCTTCATTTTCAGGATAAATTATTCCAACTTATATTGCTATAAGAGTACTATCATCAAAGGACCTGTGGTTTTGGCAGTAGGTATATCTCAGTGGTAGAGCACATACTTAGCACGCACAGGGTCCTAGGTTCAATCTCCAATACCTCCATTAAAAAAAAAGGAATTATTATTTTTTTTTCCAATCAGAGCATCCTAAAAGCTTCAGTGTCAACAGCCACTTCCAAAATGTATAACCTTCAAAGGTTTATTTGAAAATATGAATGTTGTGTTCATTCATTTATTTATTCATTCTTTCACCAAATATGCATTGAGC